GATACAGTAGTGACCTAACTGACGGTGCGTATCATCGTATGCTAAAAGTAAGTGGCCGATTGACGACCCGTTTGGTCTATTCGCAAATGTTAACTGTTAGAAAATGAAGAATTATGGAAGAAATGTGTTTTCTTACAAAGTCATTTGGTTTTTTGATTCCAAGTTACATCTGAAAAACAGTTGCTATAGCTTTGTAAAAGATGAAATTTAGAATTCTCATAAAACTTCAGATAATGGAGGGCAGCGACAGCTTGCCATAGGCCCTCCTCCTGTCCGAATTACGTAAGAAAATTGCTCTCAGGCACTTATTTTCTACGTAGTCGCAAATGGTAAAACAATCCACTGAATCGAAGGCACATTTAATGTCGAGGAACACGACAATAATGAGTCGTCAAGATAGGTGGAAAGCTCTAATAACCTGAGGAAGGTGGAGATTTGATCGATCTATCCTCGGTTCCGACGAAACACGGCATGCTCTTTACGCAACTACTTTTACGGGCACAAGTCAATCCATACAGAACAGCTGCAATAAACCTGGAAATGTTAGGCCACAACGGACGAATGCCGTGACACCGTTTCGAGACGCGAAGTGGGCCTGCGGAAAGCTGATGAAATCAGTTCACCATCGACGACACGGTTGCTATGGTGTAGACGTGAACAGGACTGCAGCCAGGTACTAGAGACGGCGAGTACGTTTGGATGGGAGTAAATAGGTGACGTCAATCGGCCAAAGCACGTACAGTCGGTGAGGACGGATGACCTGTATACTTGATCATGCTCTGTCCTTGATCTACTCCAGTCTGGCAAATATTGCCTACTGTTTTTACCGGCTGGGTTAGACGGCGCAAAAGATTGAGAGCAGAGGCAAGTGATACAGTAGAAAGCACCTGACAACAGACTGATTACTTTATGATTACCGTAATCCAAACGTGAGAACCCATCGAAAATTCAGCTGGTTGGGACAATTTACTGCTTCCATGCTTTCGTTAAGAAATTGTGCAAGATGGCCAAGAGTTGGTTACTCCGGCCTTCGAGTTTGAAAAGAAACGGAGGAAGATCACCTGGCCTGGCGGTCTTATAATATTTCAACAATCCCATCTCATAATCGATTTCGGCGCAAAATGACAGATCCAAGCGGACGATCCAGGGAGGAGATAGGTAAATGACAATCTATTGAACTGGTAACTCGGATCGATAAAACTGCTTTTCAGAGTACTCAGCCCAACGTTCCAGACGTTTTAAAAACTGACGGATAGTCTGTCCTCTCACATCCTACCAGGTCTCCTGTTGCCCGACTCCCGAATCAGATAGAAGGACTTCCGATGGTTATCAAGAACAGCAGTCGTTCTCATCGCCGACTCATAATGAGACCGCCAGAATTCAAGCTCCCTTTCTTCAGGTTAACATGCAATTTCACCCCGAGAATTCTGTGAATTGCACTGAATTGGCTCCGGAACGGAATGTATAAGCGAACATACAGTGCTTCTACAGACTGTGTAAACGCCCAGTAATCCAAGTTAGCAATTAGATTGTCATGCGAAGATATACACGCTGCCTATACCATATGGGGAACATGAGACCACTGACCACCAACTGCGTTAAGTTAGTGCTTACTCAACACGAATGCCAGCGTAATTTGATTAGTACTCAGAAGATGAGTTCATCAACTGGTAGGCACTTACGTACACACGGTGTCGCTGCGCGCGTCAGCCAAAACGTACCCAAAGGTCGGCAGATACAAGTGTACCGAGCGGCAACTTTGGACGATGCCTATTCAGCGGTAATTGATCATGATGTGCACAATCTGCATCCATGGATGGATCGAGGCTGGTGGGCACCATGCCACTTTTTGGTAGGTTCTGTGTCGGAAGACAGTGCTCGTAAGAAATAGACGAGAATCATCACGCAGGTGGAGCAACAGCTCATCGTCATCATCACGTGAGCCGTCACTGTGTTGGCCGTCCAGATGCAGCTCGCCAGTGGACGAGTTTCTAAGTTAAGCTTCAGATCACCAACTAGCACCACAGTATCTGTCGTTCTGTTGTGACGAAGGAGCTCGTTCAGTTGGGATAGAAGTCTGCTATCACAGAGTAAGCGCTACAGTTTGTGGGGGAAATTCAACAATGCCATACAGGCATCTTCTGTCCCCGTGCGAACATTAAGCCTCGAACGAGCCAACCATTCGAACAGCACACATTCGGCTGCTGATTGAGGTCAAGTCTACCGGGGCAGTTTCAGCCCATGATAAGATGAATGCCCAAACCGGCATTCGAAGCCGCAATTCCTCAAGATAGATGCAATGCGAAAGTGGATTGGACAAAAAGACCGTTTCCGAACATTTGCGCAAACGGTCCAAGTCCCATAGCCATAATGAGATGGGTCAATCTGTGAAACAAGCAACCACTACGAGTACAGGGTGTGTATGAACCTGGCTAGATCCCAAAGAACCCTACAAACTTTTATTACGCTACCGAAGGTGTTAAGGACAGTTGGCTCTCAGTAATCTCCAAGTACATTATTAGAACCTAGCCCGAAAAGCACATGGATCGACGGAAGCCTACATCAAATAGATTCTTCGCGTGTCATTGTTTAAACAATGAAGCTTGCGCCCGAGTTAACTGTTTTCCTCCTCACTTGATTTCTCCTGGATCTATTTACGCAAAATCTCGGAAATCAGAGGCAACAGCAATCGCACTGTATGGACGAGTTGCAAGCGACTGCAAAAGTGATGTGCGAAAGCATCAATACATTAACTTCACTAAAGAGTGGTTGATGGAATTCATGACCCAAAAACTTATCGTGATGGGCTAAGAGCAGGAAACTATGACCTTCATCTGAGTATAAATGACCACTCTCTCATAGGGCTCATTTAACGGTTGTCGGGAAATGTACGAAGTTATCTTCTTTCATTTACATGAAACACGCGTCTGACACAACTCACTGGGTTACTCTCTAGACATGTTTGCTAGAAAATGAGGTGCAAAACAAGTGCAACATGAATCTCTAAACCATTTAATTGCAAACCGCGGGCACAGTATGAGCGTATGGTTATCCTTAAGTCATTACCAGGAGTGTGAGATGTGGATGTCTAACGTCACTTATCTTATATAGTTGTACTAGTGCGGAGGACCGACTTCGTGAACTGAAATGTGCTGATGACATAGACATAACATCTGTCTCCTAGAAAGCCATTCAGAATATGTGGCGAGTTGGAAATATCTGTCACACATTTCCAGATGGTTTTTATGCTATCGGAATGTAGTCTTCATGCAGAACTGACTACAGCTGTTCCTACGCCTAGTATCTCTAATCACTTTAGAGAAGGGAATGTGCTAGCGCTGATAGTAGCAAAAAAACTGGGTGTCTCTATAACGGGTTAACTGGCCAATCTCTGTCATCTGTTGCACCGACTTTGTTCCATCCTGCCGCTGAAAAGCTGCCATTGTGCGAATAATCCTGTGGGACTCAAACCGTTCGCGCAAATGTTCAGAAACTGTCTCTTTTGGCCGATGTTATCCTATGAGGACCCCTGACATACGATGGTAACATCACATAAGTAATGATGAAGCACGTAGATGGATTTTCAAGCCAAACATACGCTCCTGGCCGTTAAGTTGTATACGCTCACTAAAGAGACCTAAGTGACATGGGAATGTCTCTTGCACATGCTCAGCAGTTACGTCATCTCACTACATGCGTGTGATGAAGCTTGATGAAAGCGGATAAGAAGTGACCAACGCATGAGCTGGAATGAAAGTGTGAACGCGCTGACCTTGAAGTTGGCCGTGGTCCGGTGCTCACGACACCCTGGTTGGAGACGCAAAGACCACGAACAAGATCGGTTGGAAACGCTCTTGGACGTGGCTAAAAGTAGCAGCCGGTGGAAGACCTGCAGTGAGAGGAGACTATCATGATTGCAGCCATCCGGGTTATCTTTCTGACGCCTGTCCTCACTCACATGCTGTAGCAATCTGCTAATTGTTATATATATGGTTGGCGGCATCCGGTTTCGGATTTGCCTGTCACTGTGGCCAGCCACAGGACGCCTACAGAGGGACCATGGGTGGCTTGCGCTGCATCACCCACAGCTTCAACCACACCCCATATCAAGTGTAAACTCGAAGGAATAAGACCGGGAGGCATGTGGATGGGAGCCACGTTTCATCAACGGAGCCGGCCCAAACTCCTTCACAGGCAAACACAAGCACGCTCTATTTGGGGAATAAAGCGCACACAAGGCGGTGGCTAGACCGTAGTCCGCTCCACACTGAGTGCATGGAACCACTCTTCGAGCATAGCACGGCCACAAGGACCGTGCACCCCGTCCCCTCCAGCAACGACAAACTGTCTCCTGGAGCCAGTATGAACGAGGTAGTGGGTAATAGACAGGTAGGCACCTTGTCAACATGCACATCAAGCGCAGCCACACCGGGGATACCAAGCAACAACCAATCACTTGAAACGACAAGATGAAATAAAACAAATCCAATAATGCTATACATACGGTGGCATAAGTCTTCGCTAAGTTAGCATATGAAGTAAGTTGGTTAGCAACGAACCCGCGATAAGGAAAAAATGTTCACAAGTTATTTAAACATGCTACAAACGCAACAAAGTTATCGAAGATAAGCGCGATTAGCGTAAGCAACGTGGCCAGTTAATAGAACATTATTCAGGTAGGCAGAACAAACCAAATAAAGTGGAATGAAATTTAGCCAGCCTCAAAAGACCTAGTTTAAGTGTACGTTGGTTTAGCCCAACAGCGGTGAAGAAGCAGCAAGAATGCAATATATATATATATATATATATATATATATATATATATATTGCCATGTACGATGGAGATGATGAGTTTACTCTGCGCTAATAGACCGTTATGTTGAGAGGGTTGCTGGCATGCAGCTAGTATCCAGTGCAATAGGCAGAAGCCGTGCAGGAGCCGATACGGCCAATGGAGTACAAAATCAGTACAAACAGTTCAAAGGAAAATAAGTACGTACGTTTAAATCCCACAGGAAGGAATCCAGTTCATGAAACGCGCCAGTAAATCTTTTATCTTCCTGAAAACAAAATGAGATCCGAAGCAGAAGGCTTACTTGACAGAACGGATGAAATCTGGAGAGGATGTAAACGTTCGACAACTTTGAGAACGAACGAAGAGAGACGTGCTCAATCTTAAAACGAACACTTCCGAACTGGGAAACAAAATGATGCCTAAATTGGTGATACCTTACAGATTTCGACTCGAATAGCACAGGGGTTTCAGGATAGTCAACGCCAGTCACAGGTATATTCAAATTGTAGGCGTTGGCGCTCGCAGGGATGGAGGTGTAAATGAAAGCAGATTTTATTTTACCACTGGTGCATATGGACGACAGTAGCTCCAGTGACGATGAGGACAATGCCGAGAATAGAACAAAAGCGACAGTATGTCCATCCAGCTCCTAAATAGGAATAAAATGAATGCACCAATATAGACACTACTTCACGACAAGTTTCAAAAGAAAGAAGACGGTCACGTCCACGGGCGATCAGCACGGACGCTATGAGATCGAAAGCGACACGATCTAAGACAATGTGCTCAGCCTGGAGGATTCGAGTAATTAAATGGTTATCATCGTCTGAAGCCGTTTTCGAGTGCATCTTCTTAAACGGAGTGCTGCGATAAACAAAAAGTTGATCCGAAACTGTAAGGGAGATGAATCAAATGAACGCATTGATTCAAAGCAAGGAACGATTCAAGTAGGAGGAAACTGCGCCTCGAGAAGTAAAACCTGTATCTGTGTGGATATCAGTAAGGAAGAAAGGCACAATAAGACGACGATTCAGTGCTGTGCAGCAGCACACTGGATAAATGAGGACCGAGTGATCGTTGCATATCGATAGAAGTATTAATGGTAGCAATTGTCCAGTGAATGTATAGTACAAAGATAAGTGCATATGTGCGGGTGAGGGTAGCAGCCTGGGATGAATCCAGGCTAAACTGCTGGGTAATCTAAGCCTAAACAAGTGCTGTGTGACGTCCACTGTCAAGTCAAATCCAAGATCCAGTGAGGTCCTAATCAGTTGCCAGCATCCATGTCACTTGTTTGATGGACTCCATCTCAATTCTCCAGTAAATGATAATGATTGATAAAGTCTAGTAAATAGACAGAGCCAATAAAAGCCATGGAGATTAGTGAATAAGAGGCAGAGTCAACAGGTCATAATCATCGTGGTACAGTAGTTGAAGGTGAGGAACACACTTCAGTCATTGTGCCCAGGAAGGAACCTATTTTATTTTTTCACACGCCACATCTCTTTAATCATTAGGCAATAAGCTTCCAATCTAAGCAAGTATGTACATAGATCAACGTACAACTTGACAAAAAAATGGAACGGAACATTTTAGTTTGTTTTCACACGCCGATTATTTTTGTTATTTTCAAGGTTTGAGGTATTAAACATGCTAATTGATACAATTCTGCATACAACTCCCATTGATTCTGGTTGCGGGGCGTATTCAAGCGTTAAGCCATTGGCACTCCACATCCCTGGTTCCCCATCCTGGAAGACATATGGACCCAACGGTGGCTAAACGAGACGCCAGTGATTCAAGTGCTGTCGCCAAGTGAAAGGTTGACCACCACGCGGTCGCCTCCAACCAGGTCCTTGACAAGCGAATAGAACGCGGTGCGGTAAACGCTCGGACGCCATTCATAGAACATGACGAAGCCATCTCAAATGGCGCAGCGAAACCAGTTTGTTGAAAGGAATACTCGCATTCCCCAAGACGCGACGTCGAACGCCATCACTGTGAACTCGATGTTGCCACCATACACGGGCGATGCTCCTTAAACAACCGTCGCTAAAAGCAGAAAGAGGACGCATGTCTTAAACGCGAATCGGCCAAGATTCGCTCCTATACTACAATACTGAAGGAACAGATGCACCGTAAATACGGTCTTTTGGCGAGAATGAGACGTCGCGACGACGCCACAAGTACCTCTGACAAATGTTGATCTGGTTTTAGCGATGCGAAGAGAAACTTCTTGTTATTAGTGCCTCCATCGGAAACATAGCCCTCAAGGAAGACGAAACTAGCTACCTGTTCAAGTTGTACACCTTCAAGAATGAGCATAGGAACAGGTGTTGACCAATCCTAAAGCAATACTTTATATTTCGATGGAGCGAAGAACATGCGATATTTGTATGCTTCAACCGCCAAACGACCCATAATGAGTTACATACCTTGTGGATCGTCACCAAGTAAGGCGATAACATAAGTAGAAGCTAAGTCGATCGCGTGCTCCCTCCAGTAAAAAGTCTCTGGGGAGGCAAACACCCAAAACAAAGTAAGACCACTTAGAGACCGGGTGTCATTGCAAATGCCAACCCATTGAAAAAGCAAAGCACCAGTAAACACTAATCCTGATGTGGGAACGAAATATAGTGTGGATATCAAGTGAGCATAATGGATCACATATGTGATGGGGCGAAAAGATATGCATAGAGAAGCAAAGGACGCTAGTGCTCACTGAGTAAAAAAGTAACAACAAAGATGTGGACAAATATGGATATGGGAAGCATAGGAATGAAAAAACAGTCCATTTAGGGTAATAAGTGCACGTAAATATTGCAAACATGTTACGGACAGCCGCAAGTGCAAACCTGCCAAAACTTACTGAAGTCTCATGAGTAGGGAATTTTGATATGATGAGGAATCTCAAGTATCATTACTGAAGTCTATCATCGTAGTGGCTAACCGATTACCATAGTCGGAGAATAAAACCGTTCAAAAAGCAATATCAGTAAATTGGATTTAAAATGACTAGATAATCACAATCAGGAAAGAAAATAAGGGATGGAAAACCCAACACAAAGCAATGACAGAATCGGCAACCGATACCAATAGAATTAAATGAATGGAAGAGTCCGTTTACGGAATTTGGGGGTTGAAAACAGTGGGAGAAAAGCAAGTTTGGAAGACGATAAGGATGAGAAAGCATAAGAGGGAAAAATACGGGAAGGTCTGAGCAGAAGTATCCTCACCCTTAAGCACTCTCCTCGATGCAGCAGATAGGGGGCCGTTGCATATCCTTTGCGACGGCTAGAGCATCAGGAAATTGTTTGAAGGTGAGGTCATTGTGTTGTATTGCAAACACCATTACAGTACGGGTGACCGAAGATAGGTCTTTTCCGTGAAAACGGAAGACAGTTGAGGCCAGCGTCGCTGTCGAGCAGTTTCGCAGTTTGAGTTTATTGAAAAGTGTTTTTGATAAAGATACAAATTTGCTATTAGGGAAGTGATTGAACGTATCTTTAGCAAGCTATTGTCATATCTGTCGAAGAGATGGAGCCTAAGCTAAATGGATAATGAGAACGAGCATAAGTGATGGTTGTAAGCATAAGGGGCTGGTAAACAGCAAAGGAAAAACAATAGCTGCTTAACCGAGGCTCAGCGATCTTATTGTGATATGCGTCCGGTCGAAGATTCCGTGGGCTTCCGCTGGTCCAATGGGTACATAGATCGTGAGAGAACACCGGGGCTGCGATACAAAACAAAAACCTAGTAGGCCGTTACATGTTTATATCACAACCACCTAGTAAGAGACCAGGTTGTAGCCAACGTGCGACTGGCCGACCCTTCGTGGCGAGCTGGATGCCGTTGTCACAGCTGCCGAGAGGATCGAGGCTGAGCTGCAGGAATGGTGAGGACTCGCACGGGCGATGACTGTAAACGAAGCGGGAAGGTAAAGAAAAGATGAAACAACAATGGCGGTCTACTAGAGGTTCAATGATCTCCTTACCCTATGGATCACTACAAATTCACGCTCGGATCTAATACAGTGCCGATAGGGACGTTCCTTAACCCGAGACAGACCGTCTCACAGTACGTCAACGAAAAAGAAACTACTTAAGTTGATGAGTACAGTTGCACCTAAACCGTCTTGTTAGGCTATACGAGTTCAAGTTCAAGTGGGACAGGAACAACTGAAGGATCCCACAGATGTTCCATTCTGAAAGCGTCGTTGATCCGGGATAGGTTTCGGCGAATCGATTTGTCTTCCGACGGTGTCCGTGAGTCATCGCGGTGAACCAAGCAATGCCCACATGTTCTGTACCAGCATTCCGCGCTGTGCCGGTGTAGTGCGCAAAGGTTACTGTGGGAGTAAGGGTAGGTCCAAAGCCTGAAAAAGGGAGGCGAAGTTCACCCTCAAGTGCAGTTACGGCACAGTAAGCAAACCACCGCAAGTAGGAACGAGAACTATCTCTCGATGCTCTGGCCGTCGCTGAGGATAATAAATGGCGCCCGATCTGCTGTATCGAGCAGGGTGGACAGGGATTTGGATGCTACTGCTCAGGCCTTCTCGTCTTCTTATTCCCCCACTTGCGCTTTTTCATCCTTAACGTCCCGTTCTAACTTCACTTTCATCCCCCCGTTTCAGGCCCCCAATTCTTGGTCCTCCCCCACTTGCCTGAATAGTCGCCTGTTTTTTAGTTTTAACTCACACAATCGCAGGGGGTCGCTCCAATCCAGTCGAAAAGTCTAGGTTCAACCAAGCGGACAACGTCAGTTCATCCGTTTCCCTTTGGAGTCCAGGATCCTCGCTAAGACTGGCACGCCTCAAGGTGCGCACTTTGCTACAGATTGGCCAACAGGCAGCACTTGCCCGAACACTCGAGACCCTCTCGATCGATATTGGCTGTTTGTCGGAAACCCGCCTGCAAGATACGAGCTCCGTGCGTACTTTGCGATCCCCCACATGCGACACTGGTGGCACATTCTCACTGCGCCTGTCTGGCGATGACTCAGCTACAAATGCAGGTCAAGCTGGCGTCGGCATCGTTTTGAGTCCCCGGGCTGAAGCTGCCATGATCGGCTGGATCTCTGTCAACAGCCGGATGTGCGCCGTTAGGTTGGCAGGCTCGTTCCAGGCTTTGAAGTCGCGCGGGGACAAACAGTACCTGTTTGTCATTGCGGCTTACGCCCCCACAAACTGCAGCTCTGATTCGGTGAAAGATGATTTCTATCACCAAGTTAACGATCTTATTCGTTATAGAAGCACGGATACTATGATGCTTGCTGGTGATCTAAACGGCCAAGTCAGAAAATTGTCCTCTGATGAGCTTCATCTAGGCGGTCAACATGGTGTAGGTTCCCGTAATGTTAGCAATGAGCGGCTGCTACACCTATGTGAAGGTGTTCGTGACTTCCTCGGAAGCACTAACTTTCGACAAAACACCCACAGAAGAGTGAATTGGCGCCCACCAGCCTCGGACCAGCCATGGACGCAAGTCGATCACATCGCAATTAGCTATCGCTGGAGAAGCTGTGTCCAAAACTGTCGCTCGATTTGGAGCACCAGCGTGGACTCCAATCACGCTCTCGTGTGTGCCGATCCACGGGTGCGTTTCGGCGGACATCCGCAACGTCGTTCTGAGCAAATTGACACCAGCCAGCTGGCGAAGCCAGGTGTTCTGAGTGCGTATCAAACTACGCTGACATCTGGGCTGAGTAAGCGTCCACTGAACAGCGTCGAAGATCACTGCTCGCATATTCGTCAAACGTTACTATCAGCAAGCATGTCTTCATGTGGCAAATCAAATCGCCAACCTAAACATTGGGTCTCTACAAAGGCTCTGGAAGTTATCGATGCTCGCTGGCACATTCTGGCTGGAAGCGAATACAATGGAACTCGCAAAAACCTCAGGTCAAAACTACGTGCTAGCCTGAAGAGAGACCGCGAAGCCTGGTAGTCTCATCTGCATCGGAAATGGAAACAGCCGCTGCCGTTGGTAATCATCGTAAGTTATTCCATCATACGGGAAATAGGCAGCAGGAGAGACCTGGTATTAGCGAGACAATACGTGACGAGAGTGGATAGGCGATCCACTGTTTGTCAACAAGCTTGGAACGTTGGGCCGAACACTGCAAGGCAGTTTAACCAACCAGAGTTATCGCTTTTTCTTTCGGGTATCGAGTGCTCTTCTCCATGGGCCCTCACGCGCAGAAGTTCAACGCGAGATTAGACGGTTGAAATTGCATAAGACCGCTGGTGCAGAGAGAATTTCCACAGCTGTTTACGAATTCGAGGGAGCTGCACTAGTGGATGATTTACATGAGTCGCTAATGTAACCTTGGGAGCAGGAAGCTGTCCCAACCGACTGGAGCCGCTCCATCATAGTCCTAATTGTCAAGGGAGGTTCCCGTTAGGAATGCGGCAATTATAGAGGAGTCAGTATGATTTCCATCGCCTCCAAATTGCTTGCCTCTGTCATCCTGCACAAACTGACCGGCACTAGTGAAGGCCAGATCCGTGAAGAGCAAGCCGGGTTTCGTCGAAATCGAGGCTATATCGATCACATCTTCACTTGCGTCAATTTTTGAAGAACCGCCAAGTTTATTGGCGGCCTACCGTTGTCGTTTTTCTCGATATCAAAGGTGCCTTCGATTCGGTGGATCGATGCGCTCTTTGGCACTGTCTGCTGAGGAAAGTTGCGTCCGATAAATATGTAAACATTATCAAAGTGCTGTACGCGCATAGTTCGGGCAGAGTGCGAGTTTTATGGCAAACTGTCGCCGCCCTTCAATATCTCCAGCGGTGTGAGACTTGGTTGCCCGCTGTCAACTTTCCTCTTTAACTTCGCTAATGATGAAGTCATGGAAACAGCTTTCGCTAAACACGACCTAGAATGTGTGGAGCTGATTCCTGGTGAGTGACTTCTTGACTTGGAGTATGCTGACGACATTAAATTCATGTGACAGCGTCTAAACGTGCCATGCTACAATGGACCGATTAGCACTGGCTGTCAATCGTTTTGGGCTATGCCTTGCTCCATCGAAGCGCAAAGTTCTCCACGATTGGCAGGGGCCCACCCAGCGCTGACCCTTGGTGGGGATCAGCTTGAAGTAGTTCAAAAATTCAACTACCTGGGCAGCTATATTAGCACACGTGGGATCGAAGTTGAGATTACGAACCGTATAGCAAACGCTCGAGGTGCTTTTGCCAATCACAGCCACATGTGGCGCAGACGTGACATCACTCTCGCCCTAAAGGGTAGACTTTATAATGCAGCAATACTTTCGACCATACTGTACGGTTAGGAAACCTGCCCGCTTAGATCAGTGCACATTAAGAGGCTAGCTACGTTCAATCATCGCTGCATTCGCAGTTTAGCCCATGTCTGGTGGGAGCACCGCGTGAGCAATGAAAGGAAGAAAGAAAGGTGTCAGCTTATACGCCGTAATGGCGCTTCGCTGCCGCGCGACCACCACCAGTCGCGCGCGGGCTGAGTATACCGCGAGGACGCCCACCCCTACGCAGATTCGAACCGGTGACCTTATGGTTGCAAAGCAAACGTGCAGACCACTCGGCCACCGGCGTGAGCAATGAGCGTGTTCGGCGTCGCGTATTTCGTGAAGGAAGAGCTAGTGAACCGCTCAGCACCATTATATCACGCACCAAGCTCCGAAGGTTGGGCCACGTGTTGCGCATGCCAGCACACCGACTTCCGCG